CCTGCCCTCCACCCAGGCACCCAGCCCCTCCGACTCACCGCCCAGCAGCTTGGGCACCTTCCCGATCCTGCCCGTGATCTCCGCTGTCAGCACCGCGAAGTCCTGCTCGTAGCCCTCGAAGTCGGAGGACATGGTAGCGGCAGGGTCCGGGCCGGAGACGGCGGCGGTAAGGAGAAGCCGGTCTCAGCTGCTCACGGCCAAGAGGCTTCCGCGTTGTGCCGCAGCCAAAAGCGTCCCTCCGGGAATCGGCAACCCCTGACAATGGTTCCGACGCTGACCCCGCGATGCCGCCTTCCCTGGAGCGCCGAGAGCTGCCCATCCCCCTCCCGCTACCCGCCGAGTCCCTGACCCGGGTCCGGGGAATAATTGTCCCCTCAGGGGCCACGAACTGTGTCCGGAATCAACATCGGCAGGAGGGTTTCCGAGGGGACCCACTTCTGCGCGTAACCGCCAGGGCCGGAAAAAAAGAAGTGAGGGCGGAAGAGAAGAGTCTTATTTCCGGGTCACGTGAGAGCGCCGCCGGAAGTGCTGGGAAGCGCTCAGCGGGGCATGGCATGGCAGGAGCTTTCGGAGGGGCTGAGGTGAGCTGGGGGAGGCGGCTGGGGAAAGAGAGGCTACAAGGGGCTGGGGGGAGGGGTAGGCTACTTGGGGTGGGGATCTAGGGGGAGGGGAGGCCAAAGGGGTATCCAGGGCTGGGGGGAGAGGGGTGGCTACAGAGGGACTCTAGGCATGGGGGAGGGGTGGCCCCAGTAGGATCCTTGCTCTGGGCTGGGCTCGGCTCATAGCGGTACGGGGGGACCCACCTCTCCCCTGCTGGGCTCTTGGGCTGGCAAAGGGTAGGGTGTGAGGGGAACCCAGGGGCAGGCAGAAGGGCCCCCCATCCCCTGGGGTTGGTGCAGAACATAAGCCATTGAATGTGGGAGCCAGAGTTGGTGCCCAGATGTTTTCTCCCAATAGCCTGACCATAGCACCTGGAGAAGGTAATCCAGATCTCTGGGCTCGGTGCAGGACAGGCTTTGCTGAAGACCTGCTGAATGCTGCTGCGTATTGTTGCAGTTACTGCCTCTCTAGCTCTCACGAGACCGCTTCCCTACAGCAGAAATGCTGTCACTGACTGATGGTCTCCTGCTGTACATGCACTGATTTGTTAATCCTGTGATGTGGGTCTCTTGTGAGTTATCCCAAATGACTGATGTGGTGTTTCATGATTTTAACGGATATTATTGCATTTTATTTAGATTTTTAAAGTATAAAAGAGACACCTATTGAAGGATCTAGGTACGCTCTCATTAATATCACAATAAAATCAAAGCAATGTGAAAGTCATCATTTCATAGGAACTTGGCTTAAGTGACAACACAACTCCCTGGGCTGTGCATTGAATTCTGTCATTGCAATCGACTTACAGAACACATTTTGTTTTCCTTTATTTTGAAATTATCCTATTTCTGTGTTTCTAGGTCAGGTATAGAAGCAAATCGTCCTCTTGAGATGGATGTGAAGAGCTCCTACATCTGAAGACTCTTCCAAACATTAGAAATGTCTTGATCACAACTAACTATCTGGTATTTGGAGGCATGACCGTTATTGAAGATATGAAAACTTATGACAAATGGAAAACTGTAGTTAAAAATAGGAACATTGAATATTATTTGAAATAGGAAAATACTCTTCTTCAAAATGGGTGCACTGTGTTCAGTTATCAGGTTTGAGAATCTCCAGGAACTGAAGAGACTATGTCACTGGGGCCCCATCATAGCCCTTGGTGTGATAGCAATATGTTCTACTATGGCTATGATAGATGCTGTTATGTGGTATTGGCCTTTGGACACAACAGGAGGAAGTGTGAATTTCATCATGCTCATAAACTGGACTGTCATGATTCTTTACAATTACTTCAATGCCATGTTTATTGGCCCTGGATATGTTCCTTTAGGATGGAAACCGGTAAGGAAATAAAATAAACTTTCACTGATAGTTAATTTTCATGATGAAATCTTAATATTCATCTTTGCTAGTAGTCTGGCAATGCAGAAATTAAACTCAAACCTCGCTTGCCTCGTCAGCGTAGATTAAGAAATTCTGTGAAAGTAGCATGTTGTAAGCCAGGAGTGTCAAACTCATTGGAAGGAGAGGGTTGGATTCCATTTCAATATGATAAGTGGGTTGGTGTATAAATTCAGGATCGTATACTACCCAAAATATGTTATAGAAAATTCTCTAATGTTAGTAGGAGGTTTGCACAGAGATCAAGGAGGAGAATATGGTTTTATGTAGTAATTAAACATTTGGTTATTGTTTCTTGTCTTTTTGGTAAGTGCTTTCTTGTCATATTGCTCAGTGAGAAAATCTGTCCTTTGGGTGTCCGCTAGCTCTGCCTTTTGTTTCTCTTCCTTCACCATCAGCCTTTCAGTTTCTACCCTCTTCTCGTCTCTGAATTTCCTTCGCTCCAGCAACTCCCAGTTTCCAATCTAATGTGCTTCAGTCCTGCCTATTATCCCCATTCCATCCACTAAAATGATGAGTGGTTAAATAATTAATGTTGAGTCTATAGTGTTATTGTCGACTTTATTTTTGATACTTCAGTCAGATTAATAGGGAACAGTGGTGTTCTCTGAGTCATTGTTTCAGGCTGTTTGCACACTCATGCAGACGTCAGTATCTATTACACTTGGTTCACATTTGGAAGATTGTCTGCAGTCTTGAAGATTAGAAAACTAAGCTTTAATTTAAAAAAAATAAGTTAGATTCTGGTGAATGTGAATATGTTTTGTGAGCCATATAAATACATCATGTGGGCTGGATCCAGCTCCATGGCCATATATTCAACACACTTCTGTAAGCTAAGGTAGGAGGTTGCATTTCTTTTGTTCTCAGTTAACAATCTCCTCAACCTAATTGAAAAAGTATTCACACACAATCGAAGGGCAGAGGTACAACTAGGGTGGCCAGGGGCCTGTTTTCAGTCCAGTCGAAAAGGGGACCTGACAGTGTCCAGTCTGACCTACTGACCGGACACGTGAAGTCCAGTTACTGCAGATGGGGGAGGTGCCGAGTCCTACTTAGCCAGGGCTGCCTCCTACCTGTGTCAGGTGGCTGCAGCTCCCAGCCTCCGCTCTGCAGGTGAGTTCCTCCCAACCAGGACATAGGTGTGGGAGAGAAGGGAAGAGCAGCGAGCGATGGGGGAGAGGGGGAAAGAGGAGCGAACTAGGGTAGGGCCTCAGGGGGAAGGGGCAAGGCAAGGGCGGGGCCTCAGGGAAAGGGGAGGTTCCGGCACTCCTGCTGGAGTGTTCAGTTTTTAAATATTACCAAGTTGGCAACCCTAGGTACAACGTTTGAAGACTGTGTGCCAGTGGAGTGGTCCCAGGTCTGGCTTTACAGTGCTCTTCAATAGAAAGGTGAGACAGGGGGACCCTAAAGCTGCCCTAACAGGGTAGCTGGGCATTCTACTTTATATAGGGAAATCACAGGCTTTATGCCATCCCCCGTCTGGCCCCTCCTCTTGCTCTCGAGAGCATGTTGGGTTGACAAGGAGGTTGGCTGGAACTCCTTGCACTCTATTGCAGTGGTTCTCAAACTCGGGCCGCCGCTTGTTCAGGGAAAGCCTCTGGCGGGCCGGGCCGGTTTGTTTACCTGTCGCGTCCGCAGGTTTGGCCGATCGCAGCTCCAACTGGCCGTGGTTCGCAGCTCCAGGTCAATGGGGGCTGCAGGAAGGGCAGCCAGCACATTCCTCGGCCCGCGCCACTTTCCGCAGCCCCCATTGGCCTGGAGCAGCGAACCGCAGCCAATGGGAGCCGCTATCAGCCGAACCTGCGGATGCGGCAGGTAAACAAACCAGCCCGGCCCGCCAGGGGCTTTCCCTGAACAAGCGGTGGCCCTAGTTTGAGAACCACTGCCCTATTGATCACTGGTAGCATAAAATACCCTTTCAGGCTATTACCAGTTAGCATATATTAGAGCAGCCCTAAGGCTACATTAACCTCCTTCAGGGTCCGGATTGGTCCAGAACTGAGAGAGAAAAACAGGCACATAAATAGGAACAAATTTCTAAGGATTCAGCGCTGCCAGTTATTCCACACAGGTTGACCTGCGCAGAAGCCTGCTTGTGCAGAGTAACTTGCAGGGTGAGGACCTACATTTTTCAGGTGGAAATGTATTTCTTTTGTAAAGCATTACAATTAACAAAGAGTTAATTGGAATGGTAGCTAAAAGTTTTGCTGATTTCTCTCATACACTCTTCTACCTACCATTTAAAAAGGGTGGAGACCAACCACACCCAGACAAAGCAAAGCACAGAAGCATCATAGTATGAAAGTGCTAAGGCATACTCTGCTAGTGAAATTACCTATTTGTTTCTGATATGCCTCTTCTTATGCTTAAAGGAAAAATCTCAGGACTGCATGTATGTCCAGTACTGTAAAGTGTGCCAGTCTTACAAAGCACCACGTTCACACCACTGCCGAAAATGTAACAGGTACGGTATTCCTTGTGTTCCTTTTTGTTCTTGGCTTAAAGCAGTTTATGGTTTTAATGGTGAGTTATTAATATATATTATTTGGAGTATTGCACTGTGCATTGTGCAGGGACTTCCATATTCAGAACAGTTTGCTGGTTTCCAATATCAAAATACACTGCTTGAAAATGGAAATGAATTTCTCTTACTGTTCTGAAAATAGAGAGCATATATGGTTAAAACAGCCATCTTTAGATATGCTCTTTTTTAAAAAATTTGAATATTAGTTCCCATTAAGAATTTTTTAACTAGAAAAGTATTTGGATAGTGGGGTGAGTGGGCAAAAGCACCTGGGAAACTTTCATCTCCTGGTGACTCCTCCCACCCACCCGCCCAAAAAACCCAAAAAACGAGCATCTACTTTTCATTTACTTAAGGAATACTGATTTGAGTGAGGGCCCAATTCTTCCATCTTTATACCTGGATAAAACTGACTTTAATGGGAATCTTGGGCTGGAAGTTTGTGAAATCTTTGTCAGGAAACAAGAGCTAAATTTTTTTTGAAACATACCCCAAAACCTGCTGGTTCAGCATAATAAACCCATAGTATAAACTTTCTAAGTCACAGTGAACTGCCACTTCACAAATCTTTCAGTTGCTTTGTTTCCAGTTTAAATAGTTTTGTCAGAGCATAAATAGCTGCACTGGGAAGGGAATGTGGCTTGAAAAGATGCACAAATACG